AAAAAAAACAAAAAAAAAAAAAACCGAATAAAGAAAATTCAAAAAATATATTCCAAGTTTAGTATAATCAAAATTAATAATAACGATGATGATAATGATAAAGATGACGATGATAATGATTATTATTATTATTATTTTGAAGCATTTTTAAGTACACAAATACACAACGTTGATGATAATAATGAAGTGAAAAAAAGAAAGAAAAGACAAAAATAAAAGAATCGGATAAAATTTGAGCGAATATAATAAAATATCAATAAAAATCATAATAAACTTAAATAATAAATAATTTGAAAATCCTTTGCAACTTGAAATTAATTTCCCCTCAAGCAATCAATGCAGCAAAACTCTCTTATTATATTAGTCACAATAGGTTAATAACGTTTCCTTTTATAGTGCTACGAAAAAAAAAATCTCAAATATTTAACTAGAAATCAAAGTATTAAGTAAAAAAAAAAAATAAAATAATAAGAGTCCTCAGAGAAAACTAAAATAATACAACAAAAGCTACATTCGTCTTGAATGCCAACCACTTTACATCAATAGAATGCAGTCCCCGAGAAAATTGTGTGTGTACAAATAAATTTTGAGGGATTTACGCAAGATGGCATAACCAGCATGAAATTGCTTTGGACCCTTTTGGGAAGCGATGCTTCCCGGCCCTGCATCAACTTCAACGGCCAAACCGAATATTCATGACAAAGAACTAATGCTGCGCATCTGGTGGGATCAGCTCGGATTGATCTACTATGAGCTACCCTAGCCTAACGAAATCATCATTGCCGATTATTACCAAAAACAGTTGATGCGAATGAGCTGAACAGCTGAAGCTCAAATGTCCCCAAAATTGGTCGCAACTATAGATATTGCTCAGTAGGTAAAGGCATAACACTTATCGATTGGGCTCACATCCATTAGACTGCGGCCATCATCCTCCCGCTTCTTTCTCTTTCTTCTCTTCTTACCGACAGTCGACGTGTTAAACGAATGGGGAACATCTACTGAGTGCACGGCAACCCCGGGCCATCTGGTGCAAAAATTGTCAACGATACTTTGGAGGCGCTTGAATCGGTTGCCCTACCACACCCGCCATATTCACAAGGCGTTGCTTCTTCCGACTACCACTTGTTCCGAAAACTTTTGGGCTGAACGAAAACTTTTGGACTGGTCGAGCAACACTTTTCTTTTTACGAAGAAGCCACACACGTGCCACAAAAGACGAGAAATTTTTTTAACACGAAATACGTATGCTGCCTGAAAGATGGGGAAACGTGGTAGTCGTGAGATCCAAAAAAAAAAAAAAAACAAACCCTCAAAATTTATTTGTACACACAATACTTTGCTGGGGTAATATTTTGCTGATGACAATAAAAATCGAAAACATTTTTGCTTGTGACATTTTTAGTAGATTCTTTCCATTGAGCAGATAAGAGCAGATAAATTGTTCGGAGCGATTTTGTTTTGAGCTTTTTTTTTGGGCTTTCCTGGTGAGATAAATACGCTGGTCGGCGAACTTCGACTATTTTGATTTATTGTACGGACCTAAACTGACTTTTTGTCTCGACTTTTCCATTTCGAGAGTTGCAACAACAAATTGATGGATGGAGGATATCACTGAAGCGGCTCGAAATTTTACGGTCTTATAATTGGCGAGGTTCTCAAATGCATACTTCTCGAAGTTACAATTGCGATGACTGACAGTCTATATGGTACGTTGATGGTTATAAATAAATTAAAAAAAAAAAAAAAAAAAAAATTAGAAACCAAAATTACATTTTATTAGCATGGCGTCTAAATGGGCGTGTAAGTAATAAGTATTAGTGAAGCAACGTTTGTTCTGCTGTTCATTTTATTAATGATGTTTTTTTTATTTTGCATTTCTTTGTGTTAAACAATGACGTTTGCATTCATTCATTATTACAGAATTTGTAACACAAGTCGTCTCTTTCCTTACATTTTCGACTCTTGTACTTTGTTACGTAAAAAAAAAAAAAAAAAAAAAAAAAGAAAAAAAACATTGAGCACAAAATTCAACGACATTTAAGATTTATTATGGAAATAAAACTTAATTAAATAAAATGCTTTTAGTCTATAAAAGCGATCAATCAAAAATAAATTAGTGTAAGTTTTAAATGTATTATTATTGCATGTGAGAAATGTTTTGAAAAAAAATCTCTATTAGTATTTAGTTTAAAATAAATGAGTTTTAATTTGTTTTATATATGAATAAGTTTGGCAAAACTGATATTAAACAACACTAGCAAAAACTTAATTACACAGTGCGATTAAAACTCAACAAGAAATGATTTAAATTAAAATTTTTTTTACAACTTTTTCCAAAATACATGCGGATATCACGCGAATTGATCTTTTTACACACTCTTAAATTGCTTTTTCAAATTTCGCGGCGGTGAATATGTAATCATGGCTCCTCTGCAGATCGCATATATATAATCAATGAACAACATGTAACGGAAATTAGCTAATTAAACGGTAAACTTTATTACTTTCCGAAACTATTTTGTGTTCTATTAAACATTCAGTTTGCTTGAAAAAGCAGTTCTCTTCTGCTAATTGCCAACAGCATTCTTTTTGCTTATTGGCAACACCTTGCTTTTGTGTGGTACAAGGGTATATTAAGTCCGTGCGAATGTATGCAACATCCAGAAAGATTTGATACAAAGCCACCTTTTACTATGCCGATCGATTCAGCATCATTTTCTGAATCGATTTAAGCTTGTCCGTCCATCAGTCTGTTTTTTCTATTTTCCTTGCGCGTTTCGAGTCAGGGGTGCATGCTAGTTGATCATTTCCCATATAATATCTTACATTTTATAAATAACTTTAGTAAAAGGGTATTTAATGGCGAGCCGTGGTTTCCACTTGTTTTGATTTAAAAGATTGCTTTAGTACTGCAGTCAAAAATGATGAGCGCGAAGAATGTAAGGCCATCACACATTTAACAATTAACACCGTTATGGTTTTAGGTTTTGCGCCATTTTGGTTCATATTTGCAAGAAGCGTTCCCCCATTGCCTCTACATAGAGAGAGAGCTTACGGGACGGACGTCATACTCCTTCCTATTCAACGTTCAAAGATTCAAAAAAAATTTTTGACGTCCAGAGAAAGAAGGAAACGACCTGAAGAAAATCATACATTTTTACAAGTAGAAAATTTTGTCAAATGTCAGGAAAGCAGCGATGAAAGCAATGCTATAATTTCAAAGTGATGATCTACTTAAATACAGGGAAGCAATGCTGGCTGCATAAAGACAGTTTTAGATGCGTGAAAATCTGTTTGAGAAATTTTTATTGCATTATTTGTGGCAGCTGGCAAAAAACAGATCTCTTACGATAGCCCTACAACTCGTAACTTTATATAATGCAATAAAAAAAAAATTTGGTCCATTTTTTTGTGTCATAAATACATGCAAAAAGGAATTGATGGACGGCTTTCCCTTTGGCCGAATGAAAGAAAATGTCTGGTAAATTAATTAATACATGCAAGAATGGAAAAGGGGTATGACGAATAAGTTCTCCCCTTTTACCTATTTTTACTTTTGAACACATGTCATGAATGCCTGCGGGTAAAGGTGGTAATTGATCAACAAGCACAGTGGAAGCCTTATGGCGGAAGCAGTCAGTTGATCAATTGGTGAGTCCTGACTACTGGGTGCGGCCCTTCGGGGAGTACTCGTGGTGGTTGTGGTTGGCGAGTTCCTAGCTAAAAATGGAACAATGAGTGCAGCTAGGCCCTCGCCACTCACCAGAGTGGGGTTTATTGTTCCATACACAATAAACTGATCTGGACTCTGGTGCTGTTTAGGCCCCTACTCTGTGGGGATTGTCTAACTCGCCAGGGGGCGTAGTACGCTTAAAAAGTGGTTTGGGCCACCGTGGGGTTAAGCCTTACAGGCAGGAACCCACGTTAAACCCTTGCCACAAATTCTGTCATAAATACAGTGATTTTAGAAGACAATGTTTGAAGATCACTAGCTATTACTTTTTCCCACCTTTCAAAGTCTTTTTGGACTTCATTTCGCAAGAATTGTTTCGTCTTTTATGGCTTTGCCCAAGAGAACCCACAAGAAAATAATAAATCATCTCTTGAAATCCGTGTTAGGAAGGAATGATGTCTACTGATAACAGCAGGCAATGTAGTAATGGTAGGAATCATGCCTTACCCACAGGAAAAAATTTCAATACTTTCTTGATTTTATATAATCTGTTCTCAATATGATTTCCTATCTAGCTTTGAGACTAAGCTCAGGGATTAAATAATATTTTACTTTATCATTGGCTTCTTTAGCTATTCTTGGTGATTTTTGATTTAGTTTTACACGCTTTCTAGCAACTTTTTTTAAAAACAAAATCGATACATTTCGGTCCTTAAGGGACGAATTAAAAATTTTGAATTTTTGACAATCGCTTTCAACTCTTTGACTTTTAGATTCCCCATGTGAGGCAGTGATTCCTTAAAGTAAGAAAATTTGAAAAGAAATGATTTAAGACAAAGCTTGAAGTTACTGATGCTATGTTAACACAGAGAGACTGTGCATTTTATAGTTATAATAAATTGAGAATTCAATGCATAAAACTTTCGCACGCTGAATACAATGAGTCGAGAATTGAGGAATTTAAGATAAGTGTTACTTTCTGTTCTTCCTTCCAATTATGCCTTTCTACAAAAGTTTTATAGATTGCAAATCAAAAAAAAGATAATTTTTAAAATTTGCATAAAAATTTTCCTTTTTTTTCTGATGTTTTTTTTTTAACGCACTGTGTTTTTAGAAAAATAAAAAAAAAAAATTAAAAATAGAAAATTAACAAATAATTGTTAGTTAATTTTTTAGTATTGGCTATTAAACTACAACAAAAGCTAAGCAAAAAAAAAAAAAAAAAAAAATTAAAAAAATTTTGTTCTAATCAAGTGTTCTTTTGTCGATCTATAACCTTTGATTTGGTTGTTTGTTTAAAGAAATAATTATGCAAACATCGAACCTGTGCTCATGGCATAATAAAAATCACGCCATTCATCAAGCCAGACTTCGGCCACGCGTGCTGCATTGTGCAGCACAATTTTGGCCACGCCGCCAGGAAAAGTGTAAGGGGATTTGTCACGGAATACGTGACCCACGTGCGAACAGGGTATGATTTCTAATATGCCTCCACATTGCCAAATCTACAAATTGGTTGTTTTTTTTTTTTTTGATATGTTTAAAGGTTTAGAAAAATTATACAATTGAAAAAAAAAAATGCATTAAAAATTAATAATAACAAAATTAAAAATGTCGAACATTAAGAGAAAAGGAAACCTAAATTTCGTTATAAAAGCAAATTAAAAACAAAATATTTCATTTCATTTGAATGAAAACTGTTAATATATAACAGAAAGCCAACACTTACCCGAAATGACATTTCCAGATTTTCACCACCCCAAATATCCATACCTTCATCATAGGAACCTAATTCATAAAAATACTCCTTATCTATTGAAAACAAACCACCGGCCATGGTAGGTGTACGCAAAGGTGCCGTTCGATCGTTATTGCGTCTCTCCATTTCTCTCTGAGGAACACGATACCTATTTATCGAAGCAAAATGACAAAAAGAGAAAAACTTAGTGAGAAGTAAAAAGGTCTACAAGACGCTTGGCAGCGAGTTTTAAAAGTAAATTGAAATTTTTACTTTCTTCAATAGAAGAATTAAGTCACAAGCTTAGAACTTTTCTAAATTATGACCTGCCGCGAAGTAACAAACAAGTAGGAAAATTATATTCTCGTGCGGTAGAATCTTGTACACCCACCACTATACATTTACCACGTTAAGCGTCGTTTCACCAGTTTGATATATTTTCAATACTGAGAATTTCAAATGTTTCCTTCGAATTGTAAGTCGATATCTTCATTTTTGGGACTTGTCAACAACACACACTTTATAGGATATTTGGAGCTTTCTTTCGGGTCTTGTAAACACTATGATGCCGATCATTCATTGGTGGATATAATAACAGGCAAATTATTTAAATATTATGCTATCATCATAAAATCGAAAATGTGAAAATTATCCTCCTAGCATGTGTACAGTTATGGAAAGATTGCCATGTAACGACCATGCGGAATAAAAGCTTTCAGGCCAAAGTGGGTTCAAAATTTTCATTTAAATTTTTTTATGTGTGCACAGACATTAAAAGTCATGGGGAAATTCTAATTTTGTCGCGGTCTCTCTATTACGTCATCTCCGAAACATATGTGCTACGCACTGTGGGCTAACTTCACGGTAACAAATTTCTATTATGACTACATGTTTCCTTTATATTAGTTAAAAAAAGAACAAAACAAGCGAAAACACTTTTGTAGACCACGGCCCATCATTCAATACCTTACACCATTCTACAATTATTTATACAACGACTTGTTACAATAAGGCGTCATGTAGGAATGGATCGAAAAAATGGTCCTATCAGAATCATTTTCGATAAGGCTCGCCCGTAGGTAAAAACACATCAGTTTACCAAATTTCATGGCAATATCTCGAAAACTGTAGATTGAACAAAAGCAAACAAGACGGACAGACAAGCTTAATTCGTATGAGAAACTAGTTCTGAATCGACGAGAGTATGTAAGGTGATTATATTACAACACTTTCTGGATATTGCATACGTCTGCACAAAATTAATGTGCTCTTGTACCACAAGTGGTGTAGGGTATAAGAACAGCTTTGTTAGCTTCATCTTGTATAGTGAATTTATTTTTACAGAGAGTGATTCAGTTTAATTGTTAATCATGTTTGTGAGCTGATTACACCCATCTTCAATAGACATAGCTTTGTAAACTGTCTGCGGCGTTCTACAATCTATATGTATGATGGCACATAGTTTATATCTTCTCACGTCAATTTTCGTTTATATGTCAGCTTTTTTAGGTAATAACACACCCAAGCGCAAATCGCGGGAATAAAGTAAATTACTTTAAAAGAGTTACCATCTAAAATTAAGTTTCCAGTTGAAACCACCCCACGTTGAATCAGAGGCTGTTATATATTCAAATGTTTCGTCGGATATTACATCGATTACAGGACACACCACCGTACGACGATTTTGCACAATCCGTGCCAGCAATGGCTCCAACCATCCCTCCGTGCACTCACAATGGGCGTCCAAGAATGTTATTACATCACCCTAAACGGTTAAAAAAGAACAATAACAATAATACGGTTATAGATAGCACAGGTACTGCACAGTATTAAGATTAAAAACTGTTTCTGATGCTGGGAAAGCCTATAAACCGCTTCATAACACAAAAGATTACGAAATCATTTAAAAATAATAAATTTGCCATAAACGAGATATTTATTTTATATTAAGCAAAAAAATGTTATACAAAACATCACCCAATAAATTTGCAGCATGACATTGAGATGTAGGATGGCTATTGACCATATGATTTTTAGATTGTATCAACCTTCAACGGAAATGTGTCAGCATTCCATGTCGTTACATTATAAATACCCTTGTTTAGTGACATTACTTTTGTTTTTCTAGAACAATGGGAAAATCTGAAATTCGTGTGTAAGATCTTTGTCATTCTATGCACTTATCGAGTGATGCTTTTCATTTCCGGTAAAATTTTCCTGGTCGTAACGATCCTAAATTTTCAGTCGGTAGCGGCATAACGCTTATCGACGGTAAGCTTGGCACTCATAGGCAACGAACTTCATCTACCTATCTCTTATTCTGTCTTACTTTCTTTCTGATCGTCACGAATATATTCCCTGAATGATTGGTCAAATTAAAACAAATGACACGACATCAGAAAATCGTATAGGGGTTGCAACCCTAAATAAATAGACTTTTATATTGCATATTTTATAGCGGCAAATATGTTTGCCCAATGATTAATTTGTAGATGATAATTGTCAGCGTAACAGAAAACTGCACTTTTAATATGTATCGAAATTAATACTTCACATGTATCAGAGTTGAACTTTTAGCAAAAAATTAGTGTAAGGATTTAGTGTTTAAGCTAAAGTTATGCGGTTACTTTGGCTTCTCTTTACGTGGCTTGATTTGTCATAAAATAGACACGATTTGCAAGGATGTCTGTCCTTGCGTTTTATTTTAATATTGTTTTCAATACCAAGCGAAGCCGGTTAGTAGTTTTTTTTGTACTAAATTGTAAAGAAATCGTTTTAAAATAATGCACGGTGTCGGCGTAACTGGAAAGGCGATATGAAAATGACGGGAAGTATATACATCAATAAAATATTTTATAAGAAAAAAGGTAAGGAAAAGGAGTTTTTCTTCATTTCCATCGTCTCATTTCTGTCACGTATTCAAATGGTTAGGGTGGTTAGGGTGAGAGTATAAAATAGGAACAGAGAGAAAAAGCAAGAAAACTTAAATGATAAGTGTCATCAATCAACAAGTTGAACAACTCATGCACAGTTATATACTATGAATCTTTGAATTGAATTCCAATTGATTGAAATATTGAACAAATAATTTTTCTTTTCCATTAATCATGATAGAGTATTTAATAAAGTGATAAGGAATAACATACCGTTACATGCTTAGCACCCAAGAGACGGGCACGTATTAAACCGGAACGTTTATATGTGCGCAACACAAATGTTTTTACCGGCAAAGTGGCCACATAATCTTCTAATTTTGTGCCTAAGTAATCTGTAAATTCGTATTAAATAAATAAATGTAAGAGAAAATGAAAAAAGGAGATGCAAGAGTACAAAATGTACCGCAATTGGTTGTCATAATTTACCTCTTTCGCTAGCGTCATCTACTAAAATGATTTCTTTTAACAGCGCTCTAGGTGAACGATTAATCACACTCCATACAGTACGCAATAGCGTCGACCAGGCTTCGTTATGGAATACGATAACTATGGAAGTGGTGGGCAGCTTGGAGGGATAAGATTTGTCTCTACATCTATAGATTTATTTATTTAGTTTTTATTTGTAGACTTCATATTTTCTTTTCGACATGTATAATGATAAGATCGAAGAAACTTACTTGTCGTGCCGTACATCGGTTAGTGACCGATTCAGTGAGATCATATCACTTGCCACCAAATTGAATTGATTCTCTTTAAATTTCTCTTTCGCCATCTCTTTCATTTCGTTTGGCATTTTAACCGGTTTACCCATTTCGCCGGGCTTCCCTCTTTGTTCTCCTATTGTGGGTGCTGAATACCATTTATGCAACACCGTACTACGATATGTTTGCGATACACCACCCCGTATGAAACCGCCACCCACTTGCCCCACAGGAATACCATCGCTATCCAAATTCTTTTCTGTATTAATCTCATTATCATCCACCATATTCTGATCGATCTGCTTTTGAGGTTCAGGTAACTAATGACGGAAAAAAATTGAAAATAAAAATGAAATAATGTTCTATTAGTAAGAAATTTCTATTTTGTGAATTTCTTGCAAAAAAAAAAAAAACAAAAGCTAAGAAATTCATATTTTTCTCGGTTCGAGAAAAAGTCGAATCAAATTTTGCGCTAATAAAGAAGCGGAGGTTATGGTAAAATTATCGTGGGTACAATTATCGTGCACTGGAAAGCTCGTCATTTTCAGCAAATTTGGACTCTTGAAGGTCAATGTACATATAGAGATTTCTAAAATTTACTTTATCAAGAATCACTTTCTGAATCGATCGTAGCTTGTCTGTCCGTATTTAGATTGATTAAGAATCACTTTCTGAATCGATCGAAGCTTGTCTGTCCGTCGGTCCGTTTGATGTCTGTTCATGCAATTATGTCTTCAACGACGTATTTATGTGTAGCGACGAGCGCTATTGAAAATTTTTCGGATCGCACAACTTTTTTGACCGCTTTCGATATAAAGCTTCAGTTTGAAAAATCGTTATATGCATAACGATATAAATAATATATGAATAACTTCCCTAGCCGATTATAACGTCTTCAAGATAATGTTCAAGTTAATGACTTTCTATAGAGAATGGGCCTCTACGTGGGCAAACTTGGCTTATTTCCAATATAAAGATGTAACCGCTGAGTAAACAAGCAGAACCAACCGACTCGAACCTGAACTTTTTTTTATTGATTTATGTAGTTTTCAAAACATTTCTATGCTCGAGAAGAAGAACAGTGTGATAAAATTAATATGATGAATATTCAAGGCGGCTAATGTACAATGGAATTTATGTTTTACCTATAAAAATTGTTCTCGACATATTTTCAGAGATTGTTTTAGGTTTATCTTCGTCTTACCATAACATAACATATTTAAGTATAGGCATGCAAGCATGCAAACATGTATACGTAGTTCTCATAGATTCATGTGGAACATGATTTCTTCCTGTTCTTCTAAGTAAATGTTAGATTTTGGTTGCTTGTTTGTTTGCATGCAAGTTTGTATCGGTAAGTTTTTAAGCAAAATGTTGGCCATTAGCCAATATTACAAAAGCATATACGTAGACACCTACCCGAATACTTACAACACGATTGTGTTTACATTTAGCATTTTCCTTTCTCCACATAAGCAAACAAACAAATAAATAAACAAACAAACAAACACATAGCAACGAATCTTGTCTAGGGAATAAAACAGGAAAAGAGAGTAAATATAACTAGAACAGCAAAGCTTAGAAACCTCAAAGATTGTTTTTACTTTTCTCAACTCTTGTTCTTGTTCTCTTTTCCTGCTTGCTCCACGCTTTAGTACTCAATAAACAAACATACAAACGTATATGCACATAGCACATGCCTATGCAGCATAACTATGTTGAGTCGTTAGACTCAACGACTTATTCAATGGTTCTCAAGTTCAACTTTGTGATTTGCTGTTTAGTTCAGTTTGCGTCTATGTTAGCGTTGTTCAAGTTAGATTTATGGTTTTTTATTAATGTGTTCCGCCCGTACAATATTCCTTCCTTAACTAAAAACATACAAACTTTAATAAAGAAGGCATATGTGTTCATAATTCAACATAGCAAACATAAAAATCTGTCCATATGTCCCTATATATATATATATATATATATTTATATGTATATATCTACACACATCCATACAAATGTATCGACGTATCTACATACTCCATAGCATTCATTCATATTTATTTATGCATGCATGCATGCCTGGTTTTGCCTGTCTATATAAGATGATTCATATTCATGTTACCATATGAACATCAACGTCTAGTGTTAATTAAAATGTTGTTGTTTATAAATACATATGCGTAATATACGAATACGTACGTACTTGTGCACGCAACCATTGATGAAATTTTTTGTTGCTTTATTTGTTTGGTTTGTGCTTTTGCTTTTTTTGTCAGCACTTTAATATGTTTTGTTAAAAACAAAAGCTGTATTTTCAAGGTTTTCTTATTTGCTCAATAAACGCATACATATGTAAAACATATGCCTGAGCACACACAAATGTACATTCAAATAAATAATTATTCGCATGTTTTTTGCTTTTTTTTATTTATTTTTTTTTATTATTATTAATAATAAATCAAAATAAGTAAGTGGAAATATACAATTGAAGTGCGGATGTCAATAAACAAATGAGAATTTCTAGACAATTGGGACGATTGGGGCGACTCTCTGCATGCACGCAGTCATGCATTTTTATGCGAGTTATTTAAATCCTTGCAGTTTCTGGTGAAAGTTTCCTTTCGACTTTTTCATGCATTTTCAGATGGCAACTCACTGGTATGAAACCAATGGAAAAATATCTATCAAAAGTTTGCGATAATGCGGACATGATTTAAAAAACTCCTTTGCCGGATATATTGCCGGATGTATTTCGAAACATCGTTTTTGAAACCCTTCTGCGCTTCTATTTCTGACATGAACTCCTATGTCCACCTAGGCTCAAGAATGTATCATTTGAAATTATTAATTAAAAAGAGTTCGTGCTAAGTAAGAAAGAAAATTACAACACTGTTGGTGACCAGTGTCTTTTTGCATCCAGTTTGCTCTGACAGCTTGTAGCGTACGAATTTTAAAGCTTCTAACGACTTGTTTCAACCATCTCTGAAGACGAGATCCAAGTAAAAATGTACAAATTATTTTTGAAGCATTATGATTAGATTTTTAAATCGTTTTATCGAGCAGTTGACATGTGCCGCATGGAGCTCCCTATGAATTGATATTTCCGTGATAAAGATATATCAATATGAATATTTTTACTCGTAGCTTTATTGCTTTAGATTTTTATATATCCAATCATGGAAAACTCTGGTCTGGCAATACTTATTTTGTGAAAGCATTTACTAAATCCACAAGAAAGTTTTGGAGACGCTATATAGTACACTTAGTTCTCTTCTTACACAATAGATAAGTTCTGAAAAAATTCGTGTAAAAAAATATTGGATAAATGGAAAAATAGTAGATTGTTTCTAGACATAAAAAAAGTAACTGAAAAGTACAATAAACAATATTAAAAAATTCTTATTCAAGTTCAATAAAGTTTTTATTGCAGGCTTACACGTTTTAATTCATTAGGTATATTATAAAAACTAAATTATACTTTGAAAAATCGAACTAAATTGCTTAGAAAAATACATTACGTCTTTATTCTGTACGTAATTTATACACGACATAATCCGACTGAATTGTAAAAAATATAATGCAAATTGGGAAGGAGTGTGAGCGAGTAAGGATGAAAAAATTCATAGAGGATTGAAAATCATGTTCAAATAAAACAATTCGTGTAAAAGGAGAATTTTTCTTGTTAATTCGCGTTAAACAAATTCGTGTAAGAAGAGAATGAGGTGTATATACGTATATACACGCTTGCTTTCGAAAGCAAGTAAATGGATATGATTATGGGTAAAATGGGTTTGCGTTATCTGTTTTAATGTAATGCTAGTGGGTTTAAAAGATTCGATCACAACCAATCTTATTGTACTCACAGCAGAGAACGCTGCAGTCACAAATGGAATTAAAAGATGAACAAATTCACGGTCCTACGGGGAGGTCTATGTAGATCAACCGTTTTCAAGCGCCATAAAGACAAGATTTTCATTGATTTAAAAAGGTGTTAGCAAAGCCCGAATTTCAAAACGGTCGTTCCCAATCCCACGAATCGATATTTAATCGATAAACTAGGGCCATTATGTGAGTTATCGTCTTTTTAACTTTTTAACATCCGACGCAGTGGTGAAAAGGTTGCGTATGCATTGAAATCCATATAAATTATTGATAGCTCAAAATATGCGCTATATCGAATAGATGTTAAAAGTTTATAGAAATTTGACCATAATACCTCCACAAAGCCCTTGTCACAAGTAACAATGTTTGAAGACATGCGTTTGTGATGTGAAATTTGACATAGCTGTCCGCGTCAGTGCTACCAATTTAGAAAAAAAATAGTTCTGATATTCCGTATACCCGCGCAATTTAACTTGAATATTGGTCTTACTTTTTGGTCACTTCATAAATCTGTAGATATGGACAAATTAATTGCATAAATATGTCAAGGCCAACAAGACTCGCCCGTCGTCTTGGATTTGCGAAACTGGTTTTTTTCGGAAAATTATAACGTTTGCAGTAGAGAAGGGTTTAGTTATAGGTACTTCTTCATGACACATCGAGGCCGATGGAGAACTATAGTGCCAGCTTTCATCTCTCGGAGAGTAGTCTTAAATAGGCATAGCGGTTTTATTTGATTCTTACATACAAGAAACGGAGTGATTGATGTGTTTACAAAGCGTCTTTGGATAATGCAGAATTTATTAGGGAAAAATGTTTTAAGAAGTAGTTTCAGAATAGAATAGTAAGGATTAAAATAAGCAATAACAATATTTCCTTTAACAGGCTTCAGACCTAGATATGCAAACCTCAATAAAAAATGATGTTCTTAGGAAACGACAAAGGCATTGCATACGCTTTGTCTTTTTTATTGATACGCTCCGTAAACTTATGTCGGTCTGCTCATACGCCCATCAGCTCTCCTCTTGGTTGGTATAGAATAAATTAAGAAATAGTCAGCCTATTGCACTTATTTGATGAGTAATTTATTATTAATTAGCTCGTTCGATGCTTACCGTTACATATATGTGACGCAGCCGTTCCTTACAAGACCTTTCAAAATACAAATACGTAAAATCTATTCTAATTGATGCCATATAATCAGGAGGAAGATCTAGGGCTATGATGGGTGTTCTTCCCAGGAATTCTTGGTAGCGAAGTGGTTAACTTTTTATCGCTAATTTTCTTCGTAATCTTTGGGGCAAATAGGTTGCTCATCGTTTCCGATCCGATGTGGAAATTTCCTCATCGTTCAAAGTTCAAATGAAACAATGAGGAGGAAATCTTTCATTTACCATAAAATGTTGTTTGGAAACTCAGGTTATCGACTCGAAATGACTAGCACGAGGATTTCAGCAGCAAAGGTGTTTCGAATTTTGCCAGAAAAATTGGACTCTAGAAATCTAAGAGGATCAATCACAAGCGAATCTTTTTCAAGGAATCTTCAATGTTTGCCCTAAGAAAACGACGGGGTTTTGTAAGTACGAATGCAACTACGCAGCGTGGACAGTGAACAGAATACCAATTTTGATCTCCGAAATAGAGCGATTCGGGTTAAAAACGATCAAAACATTTTGCGATCAATTTTGTTGAATGCAAACAACTTTTGCGTGTACTGATGAATTTAAAAAACATTGTTTCAAGTATTTCGGTTGATTATATGCAAGAAATTGGTGAGAAAAGCTTTGCTCTTTAGCAGCAAAACATAATAACTTATCTCAAAAAAAAAAAAAAACAAAAAAAGGGTCTGAAAAAAGAAAAAAAAAAAAAGTTGCACTTACCGCCAAATCATATTCTCCGGTACGTTTACAACGCCAACCATCTTTGCCTATACAGTCTGAATAATGCGCTATTAATACAACGTCCACTATTACCCAAACGAGGGAGGTGAGTAAAACAATACGGCAGGTATTTGAGCGCATACGGCCGCGCAGTTTTCGCGTGAAACTTAAACTGGTCATGATGGTGGTGCTGATAATCTTATATTGTTTAATGTTTATGTACAGTATTGTTGTGTTGTGCTGTAAAAATATTTTCTCCTTAAATGTCTTATGTGTAAGGAGAACGAGAATATGGGTTATGCTTTTAATAATAATGGCAATGTGGTAAGAGGGTACCAACTTAAGGAGATTATGAAGTGTGACGGAATACTTTTTTTTTTTTTTAATTTTTTTTTTCAAATTTTTTTTTTATAGAACTCAAAGATTTCAATTAGCGAATATATGGAAGAAAAACATGAAGGCAGTGTGCGTAATGTTGTTGTTGCTTACAATTTGCTGGGAGCTAACGAGCGAGGCGCTTTTTCTCGTTTTCTTGCAAATTTATCACGATATTGTATGAGTTATATTCTTGTAATAATATTTTTTATAATATTGTTGTTGCTGTTTTTGCTGCTTTTGTTGCTGTTGTTGTTGTTGTTGTTGTTGTTTTTGTTTTTGCTGTTGCAATTGTTGTAACATCCACATCATAACCAAGATCATGGATATATTATATTAGTAGCAGCGCAGCAGCTCTTGTTGCTCTTTGAAAGGCAACGGTTAGCATTTGAAATTGCGATCAATGAACCGTTTATTTACAATGACTGAATGAATGAGAGCCGCAATGATTGATGGTTGTATTGAACTCGATTGAAGTTAACTGGCTGATTGACTATTTAAGACGAAGCTGGTTTGGTACTGGTTATGCGCTTGTTGTTCTGCTTGATATTGATATTGGTTGATGTTATTGCAAAATGGTTTCAATTTGCTGTCACGCCTTTCAGTTATTTACGTGAATTCATTTATTTATGATTGTGTGTTATTAAACGTTTTGATTCTCTTTTCTTCATTCATATATATCTATATATATATATATGTATATGTATACATATATATTATTATTATTCATATACATATATATACACATATATATATTTATATATATATATATATATATACACCAGACTTGTGCAAATATTTTTCTGGGTTTCTAGTTTAGTAATATATTATTTCGTTCTTATTTATTTATTTATTTATTTATTTTTTTTTTTTTTCTTTTATATTATATATATCAGACTTTGTTTAGGTATAAAAAATGCTATTGTGTTTAGTTTTCTCTCTCTCTCTCTCTCTGTCTCTGTCTATCTCCCTCTCTCTTCCTCTCTTTCGGTCAATGGATAATAATAATTCTTTGCGGTTATTTTTACAAGTAATGCAAAAAAAAAATAAATAAATAAAAGAATATTCGCTTTGCTGGCTACAACGATGATAACAGTGTTGACGTGGATATTGTAAATATTATTGCTGTTGTTGTTGTTGTTGTTCTTACTTTTGTTTTTTAAATTTTATATGAAGATTATGTTGTATGGAAGTTGTTAACATAGTCGTTGAATACTGTATTCAAGGCGGGGAAGTAAATAGCAACAAGCATTAGTAATAGTTATGTTGATAGTCGTTGCGGTGCCGGTAGCCGCTTGTTAGACCTTGAAAATTATTTAACTGCAAAAATGTTTAGCTGAAAAGACAAATGTTGTTTGTGTTATAGTTAATAAAAACAATAAAAAAAAGCCCATAAAATAAAAACAAGTAGTTAAGTTATATTCGGCTTTGACCGAATCTTTTATACACAACTTTGAACAAAAACTTTTACATCAAAATACCTTCGTTTGTGATTGCTTAAGCTTTGCTTTTATTAGAAATATCGCATTGGGTCAAATTAATCGTGAAATTACCTACAGAACATAATATTCATTTCATATATTATATCCGCCCGAGTAGCCGAAGGTGAGGAGTCTCCACTAGCAAGTCAATGGTTGTGTGTTCGAATCTCAAGTGCGGTAGAGTTTTTAATAAAAGCCGATAGCCTTAGATGCTAATGCTTTTAAGAGGTTAGTCTAGGAATTTATTTTTCTGGCGAAATTAATAATAATAATAATAATAATAATAATAATAATAATAATTTCATATATTACTTTATCTATTAATTCTATTTAGACACAAATAGTTAATTTTCTTTACCAAAATAAAAACCCAGTGTCGCTAGTAACCAATGCTTCTAACTTACACCGTTTGTGGCACAAGCCTATATTAAGGTTGTGCATATATATGGCATACCCAGAAGGATTTGAGATAGACCGGTCGATTCAGAATTATTTTCTGAAAGACTTAAGCCTGTCCGTCCTGTTTGCCTTTCTTTCTTGTGTTCAACTTACCGGCCTTAATTTTTGATGAAATTTGGTACACTGACGTATCTTATTAAGTCGTTGCGTGAATACCTGTAGAGTGTTGTAGGCTACTTTTATAGTGCTTGTTTTTCTTTAATCTGTTTATAATACTAATACTATATACTAGTAGGTAAAATGTGTATTTTTATACTAAAAAGATGACAAAAAAACAACCGAACCCTAAATTTCCATACGCTATAATTATTAGGTAGACGTGGCTGACTTTTTGAGCAAGCAAAGATATTCTCTGTTTATGTCATTCTGTAGGTGTGCCCTTTGACCGATTCGACTCATTTTCAATATTAATTTGCGCTTAAGGACTTTCGATGCTTCTAACGGACGTGGCACTACGATCAAGATAACGTTTACTATAGACATTACATAGAAGAACACACGGACAATCGTACAGAGAGATATGTATAAATCAAATGTTGATCAGGAACATGTGTACATGTGTACATGTGTACACAATGAAATCAGTGAAGCTTCCTTCCGGGTGTTGCAAACATTTTGCTAAACTCAGCATATCTCTACTCTTCAGAGGAATAACGCTGTGTAATCGAATTTAATCATGGCCGTACATACATAATCATCCTACGAAGTTGGGATATCGACGACTTGATAGCAAACAAAAAGGAGCGGAAGCATTAGCACTAAAACTTATGTTTACGGCATAAAGATTTCAGGATGCTTATGAGTAAATCAAACTCAATTTAATTTGCTTGCAAGTGTAGGAAATGAAGGAGAAAATTGATGACGACGCAAAGTTTCATAAGAATTAATTCTTGGAACAAAAAGCGAGGAAAGAGGAAAAACATCTATCGCAAGTTTTCGTTGAAAGCGTTTTGTTGAAGAAATATGCAGATTGAATACGTTCCAAAGAAGCTCATAAAAATCATATAAAGAATTTAATTGCAAATTATTTAAATCGATCTACAAAAACCCAGGATCACATTAATAGAGAGGATGAAGTCGCTTCATTATTCTTCAGATGTTGTGCACTTGAAATACAGAGAAATAAAATACATCAGACGACTGACAAAGTAAACCCATTTTTGATCAGGATAAGACTCTCTGCCAACGTAGGCTTTTCCTTCTACCTTTACTTTTACTTTTCCAACTAATTGCCTTTCTACAGATTAGTAATGATTAAAAAGCTTGTGGGCAGGAGAGACAGACATATATACTTGGCATACATATTCTCAACTGCTGGTTATGAATAAGGTTTGGGCTTTGGCCCGTCGAAGAGATTTTGCAAAGAGTAAAGGGCAATTTTTACAGCCACTGATTTTATCAAAGCGTTCCGAATACTCACAAGGAAGCCAGAGAGCCAGTTTACTCCTGTGTGTGTATAGTCTATAGTTGATGTTTTTCTAATAGCAAAAATTAAGATATCGTATGCAAATTTGGCAAAACCTCTACAAATTCTTGTGTGAAAGTTCGCAATGAAAACGGTGCAAGTTAGTCAAAGGGCTCAGGGACAGAGTACAACATAAGCGAAGGAAACACATCTTTCTAAAAGCGAAGAAAGAAAAGGGATTTTCGCTCATGGTTCCCTCTGACAGATATAGCTGATAAAAATTGTACCCTGTGGGTGACCCTACAGCATTTGTACAAAAATGGAAAACTCAGCCACGTCCACCGCGTGTTATAGGAGTTTGAAACCTTATTTCTTCGGGTTTTTTTTTAGCGGTGGGTAGCGGGGCTTTCGACCGCAGCCGCATATAAATATTTTCTTTTTTTCTACACATCCCCGAAGGGTGGGCAAGGAGTTTATTTATTTTGTCAAAACATTTGTAGTACTCAGAAGGAAGCCTCGGAGGCCCCGTAAGGCATATGTTTTCTTCATTAGCATCAAATTCTAATCCTGTGTAATGTCTTGCAGTAATCACGCTACTGGTCGCAAAAATTTCATTATCGAAAATTGGTATTCGAAATGAGATAAGCAGATATAACGATAAAAATTTGCACGTATTTTCTATGAGTGATCCTGCGTCACCTCTATAGAAAATGGAAAAAATCGAGCACGCCTGTAGAAAGTTTTTTTTCACTTTTTTGATGTTTTCTGTTTGAAAATTATTCTACACATTCTCCACTTGTAGACATATTATTTGCCTAAAAATGTCTACTAAAATATATATGAGAATTGGATACTAAATGGAAGAACTTGAAGGGTAGAATACGACAGGCCAAGTGTGTTACTTCTAGACTAAATATTGCGGACGTAACGATAGTAGGACGGACGGTAAGGCAATGATTATAAAAGACTCGGTCGCGATCGAATATAGTTTTCTTATTTCTTTCTTTATATCTACAATTCCCAGAGAATATCAGACCGCAGTAAACGAAAGAGTTGTTTTGTTTATTATAAGCATAAAAGCATTTATTTTTATTATCCCAACTCTAAGTGAAAAGAAGCGAGAAAATTTAGTAAACTTTGTAAACTTTCTTTAGAAGCGTAAATTTAGTCACAATATTTCTGTTATCACTTTTGTCAAGCTTAAACATAAGATAAACTGGTTAAGGTTTTCAACCACATTAAAAACTATAACAACAAACAGACTCTTTTCCAAATAATGAATTCAAAATTTCATTTAAAGATTAAAATTTCTGCTATAGTACTAGTAGAAGAGAAAAAATAAATTAAAGTAAAAAGTAAGTAAACAAGAAAATTATCATCCTTAACCTAAAAAAGATTAAAGTAGAGAAAAAACTAAATTTTCACACTGTTTAATAATGAATGGGCGTGTCTAATTCTTTCCACATTCTTTGCTTGTACAAGCAAAGAGTAAAAAACCTACAAAGCGGAGGTATTCTTAGTTTATGCTGCCCTTTAGGCGTATCGTTTAACCGTTGTAAGCTATTTTCAAAATTTTTTCGGCAAGTTTGAAGGCGACATTTTCATTTTTGCGAACGTGAATATGTTTGCCAAAAAAATTACACAAATAGACAAACGAATACGCCAACATGGTTAGATGTGTGCCGAATTTGACACAGGTCAACAATGTACATATGCTATGTGGACATTTAATCTAGTTGCTACAACAGCAGAACAATATTGAGTGGGCGTAGCCGGTTTTTTCCGTTTTCATACAGAATAGAATAGCATCGCCCGTAGCGAATACGTTCAAATTTGTATAGATTTATCTGCTATAGTTTATAAGTAATGAGGAAAATATTAATTTTTCATTGCTTTTCGAAAACATAAGTGTTCACACTTTACCTAGTAGTGTAGGTGAGTCGTTCGACCAATATGGCCCATTTTCAATACAAAACTGCATGCAAGAACTTCCAAATTTGAAGGTTCGTTGTTGCTTCATTACACAGACGGATAGACGGACATGCTTAAATCGATTCAAAATTTGATGATGATCATCATTGATGATGATCGTAATATATATATATATATATATATATATATATATAAATATATGTATATTTGTAAATGTAAACTCTCTCTCTCTCTATCTATTTCTCTCTCTTTGTGATTTTTCGTTCTAGGTGTTGTAAACATTTTGACAAAATGAACATATCTCTCATTCTGCAGTGAGGGGCATAAAAACGCACACGATGTGTGTAAATAAAGCCTTCAGCTTGCAATTTACCCACTCAGGAGTAACAAGTGTTATAAATATATGATTTATATTGGAGTATATTTGCATATCGCATCATACGTTAATGAGTATTTTTCTTATTTTATCATGAATTTTGCCATGAATTAATTACAAAAATTTACAAAGGACATTCCCCGCTTCAACATAATTTTATAATTTTTCTTTGCTTTTTTAATTATTTCATTAAATTTAAAGGCTGTTTGCAGTTACACGTAATAAAAATGCGAATCTTCTCAGACGAACTACTATTCTACTACTATTACTATTTTCCATCAATAACCTATAAGACGAGGGCAGTTGGAGTGGTGAGCAGAGCTCAGCGTTAAGAAAAATGATGACATTAAACGCTTACTGAATTCTTCACAATTTCTTTAAAATTAGCTCTGAATATCGTTACAGTTTTCATATACAAATGAGAGCTAAATGAAAAGAACGAAAATCTTAGCGTTGACTGATCGCTGTTCACATGTGTTAAGTCGCTATAAATGGAAACATTATTTTCATAAAATTATTTCGGGCGATAAAAAATGGGTTCTGTACAACAATCTTAAAGGGAGAACGGCATTGGCAATCCAGGGTAATTGCTCAGATCTCTTGCAAAGTCGAATATTCATGTTTAGATGCTTGTTGGAATCCATCTTTTTATAGTTTGATATATGCAGTTGAGACTAATATCC